TGACGCAACAACGATATTTATGTGGATATAGTGTTTCTTCGTGAGTTGTTTCCACAATCCAAATAGGTTTTTGTTGGACATAAGGTACTGTGGTGATGATTAAGTTGATGCTGTTTTAATCGTTAACATTTGTATTTTGGGTTTGCCTGACGTTATTTTTTATGTTTTGATTATCTTTTAACAACTTCTTCTTGGTAGCTGTTTTTTTAATAAAGATTTCAGAAATTCTTTGTAGTTTATTGTCTAATTTAACGCCACCTACAACTCGTCCTCACCATTACTAGCCTCTTTAGAATTCAACGGCCTTTTTGAATGTAACTTTAACCTGATGATAACCCAATACTGCGGGTTGTAATCATTAAAATCAGAACTTATCTACTATAAGAGTTGCTGTTATTGTATTTTGAATTAATATGCGATTTAAGTTTAACTATTTTCTGTCAATAATTAAAACGTATCATGTGTGACCACATAGTCACTTATCTTCTATTGTCTGTCATTGTACATTATAAAAACGGAGTTTATGTAACATTATCCATTACCTATAAACAGTGATATGAATATAATAATCGTTATAAAAACTGTAAATAGTTAAAATGGGAAGATTAATGGTTTGTGACTACTTTTTTTTTTCCGGCTGACATAAATGTCATATTACGATAAGGGCTATTCAACGATATTTGTTATTTTATAACTGATAATTTTACATTTTTCTTTGACAATTATTATGCCACGTACAAATGAAATTGCGAAAAAAAAAAAGAAAAAGTATTAATAGCATGTAATTTTTTAAATAAACAGCCAATGACTACAGGAAATCCTAAATGTTAAAGGCGTATAACTGTTAATTTTTTAAAATTTGATTATCATTGAGTTTAAGGTTGGAATAAGATCGAAATGATTTCATGGTGTTGTCCACTTAGTTTCGTATTTTAGTATTTATGTGATATGAAGCAAGACAAAAAATATATCGTTTTAAGATAGACTAAATTTATTTTCCAACACTTTTACTTTAATACAATACAGTTTAATGAATTTGTCATACTTGTATTTAGTATATAACTTTTTATCTATTGCGAGGAGCAGCATAAAATGTGAAATATGGTTAGTGATAATATTAATCAGTAGATGGCAGCTCGTACGTTACTGATGTCTAGCTTGATTTACTAGAGTAGACATCATATTTTGTTTATTAATGAAATCTGGCTCTGTTTATTATAATTAATATTATATTTTGTTTATTTACTGAAGACGAAAGACTAACGAAACCTCGTCCTCTACACTTGTGTTTTGCTTTCTACAACAGGCAGTTGCCGCCCATTCCACTGTTCTCGTCATCATTACTCTGCTTACACAATCTATCTTGTTGGTTTTTGACTTTATTTATGAGGACTGACAACGAGTTCTATAATATAGTTTTTGTTGAAATAATAGCACGGTAAAATACAGGTGTGGTGTTAAGACGTTAAATGCTGACAATTGCTCTAAGAACATTAATTATCTGGAAGCGTTTGATATGTAAATATCCTTGAGAATAATAGCGTCTAGTAGCTCAGCAGTTTATAACTCTAAAAATCGGGTTTCGATACTTGTGGTTGGCAGAGTACAGATAGTCCATTTGTGTAGCTTTGCCCTTAACAACAGACAAGGGCCCGGCATGGCCAGGTGGAT